CCTTCTCTGTCTAGCATCCTCGTTCCCCGGCTTAAACGATTTAGTCCCCCTGAATGAATCGTGTAGAGCCGATCTCAATCTCTGGCTTTTGTTCCTTAATCAATGGAACGGCCTCAGCTTTTCTACAACGCCCACGTCACGCTAGCCACCGACATGCACCTGTTCACAGACACAGCCCCCTCAGTTGGATTCGGGGGGTATTTCCAAGGGCGCTGGTTCGCTTCAACATGGTCTTTCTCCTCTGCTCTATTCGAGCTCTACCCAATCATCAACTCAGCAGCAGTCCACTGCATAAATAAAGGCACATCCAGTTCCACGTAAATCATGCCTTTTCTAAGACGTTTGATCTGGACGTCTGCCTGCAACCAGTTCATAATTAAAGCAATCCATATACCAGGTTGTAAAAACTCAATTGCTGACTCTTTCCTTTCAGAAATTCAGATCATTAGCTCCTCAGGCAGACCAGTCACCCATACCAGTGCCTCGTCCTTCAAACCCAGCAACATTCCTTCATCACTTCCGCAGTAGTGACAAATCCTCATTAGCTTTTACCCATCAGCAGCGATCTCTTTCTTTTGTTAAGCTTTCCTCTTCGCCATAGCAGAGTTTTCCCCATCGCTCCCGCAGGAGCGTTTTTTCTCCTTAATGCGTTAAATAAGTCTTTTGGAGAGGGTAAAACCAAATTTTTTATTTCTCCAGTTGGCGACGAGCTTGCTGTCCTTTTATAAGCTTTTTTTGGGGGGTTTCGTACTCTGAGCTCAAGCCGAGCCTCGGGTTTCGAGCCTCCTTCACGGACAGCAAGCCAAGTTTGTTTTACCATTACCTGGCAGGGCTGAGTGGGCGGGGTTAGGGTGTTGCTTTGAGTGATCAGCTGTGTGTGATGTAATGAGGAAACAATCTTCCTATAAACTCACCTGAAAGGTTGAGCTCGGAGTTAGAGCTGGGCGATAAAATGGTACACCATCATCGATAACGATAGAGAAAACGTTCGATATATCGCTCGATAGTTTCAGACTTTTTTCGTTTAAAGTTATGAGTGACAAGCAGACAGCTGACAGAACACAAACACATGCTGAAATGAGTGCCTGCGATGAGGAGACTGGGAATCAAAAATAAATATAAGTCAAATTTAAAATAAAATTCGCATTCGAAGCCGCTGTGAATAAACCAAGTAAAATAACAGTAAAAGACTGGTGGTTTTGAATAACAATACATAGAGCTAGTCACTCAAAACATGAGGAAAATGACAAACGGTCCAGTAACTTCATCTAGAGCACTGGAGCTGGACTGACTCTAATAGATGATCGACATAAACTCCAGACTAAACCAGACTCAGCTCAGAGGTTTCGGTCTCTTCTCTCAGTCTAGTGGACAGAAAACATCCAAAGAGTTGCTTTTATGGCACTCTCTGTAGATTTCAATCTTTAAAGAGTTTTTTCTCTTACAAACCGCAAACGTTACAGTTTTATTCCTCTCTATATTCTGAAGGTTTGCTCATATTTCATTCACACTGATTTATGCAACATTTTACTCCTAAAAACATGGTGAAAATGTGTTTGTTTTCTGTGTGTTGACAGTATTTTCTGATTTATGATGAAGAGAGAAGTCCACAATCCCCTCTGGAGAAACCTTTAACTCTAATATGAGGACAAAATCAGACCAGAATTATGAACCTGACTTTATCCAGTCATCAGATTAATGTGCTGGAAATGAATGCAGATTAGTGCATATTTAATGAGATAATGCATCATTTGCATATTTAAATATAACATTTCAGAAAACATGTGATACAAAACGTGTGCAGTTGTTAAAGTGAAGAATCAGCCGCTGAAGTCTGTTAGTTTGTTAGTCTCGTCGTTCATTAGTTCTCCGGGTCGTCTGACATCGACTCTCGTTCAAAGACTGATCTGGGGATTTAACCCTTGATATCAGATCGTTCACATGAAGTCTGTCTTTAGTTTGGAGGTCAGAGGTCGTAACTGTCCTGTCATCTTTGCTAGGCGACTATGCTGTTTGCTGAGCTGCCGTATACACTAGCGACAGAAGAAGCAGAGCGCATCGGAGTCGATCACGTCGCACGGATGACAGCCATCGGGACAGGAGAGAACTCCACCGGTACTCACTCACACACACTACAGGTGCTGGTCTGTGTGTGTGTGAGTGTGTGATTAAACCGTGTTTGTGTGTTTCTGTCAGTGGCGGAGCATCTGATCGCTCAGCACAGCGCTATAAAGATGCTGCACAGTCGTGTGAAGGTCATTCTGGAGTACGTCAAAGCAGTGCAGGCAGGTGAGTTATACACTCTCTCTCACTCTCTCTCTCTCACACACACACACACACACACTCACAGAGACTCACACACAGAGACTCACACAGAGACAGACAGACACACACACACACACACACA